AGTTCAAGATGTGCTAAAGAGGAGATACTATGCAAAATCCCCCCTTTGCCTCCTTTTGTTCAGCCATTCTCTACTACCCCTAAAATCCTCTAAACATGAAAAAACAACCACCATGTTTTCTGTCTGTGTAATTACATGCCTCTAATGAGCCATTTCAAAAAGTTCCTGTGACATCACAAACGCGGACTTGAACCACCTCTCAAATCAAATCAAATCAACCTTTATTTATAAAGCACCTTACAGGCATGAAACATGCCACCACAATATTGTACGATCAAAATAAAACAGGTAAAACCAGCAGAGGCAACTAAAAACCCATAATATACGCATAACAGAACTCCTCCAAGATATCTGAGCTGCTTAGGCCCGATCCCAGAACTCGCATTTTCACACTTGCTCCCTTCAATTGTGCGATTCCAGGCAGGGGTGTGAGTGCCTATGGTGCCCCGATTCTCAAGTCTGGAAATTGATCATGCCCCTTTTGCACCCTTCATCTGCACTTCACCCAAGTCCGCATGAATGTGGATTTTGGTGAAGGGTATTACCCACTCACAGGATATTTCATGGAAGTAAATTCAAAGAGTTGGAGTACCCGGCCCGGAGGGTTACCAGGGTCCCACCTTGGAGCCAGGCCTGGGGTTGGGGCCCATGAGTGAGCGCCTGGTGGCCGGGCTTTCGCCCAGCCCAAACCGGATACATGGGCTCATCCAAATGTGGACCCACCACCCGCATGAGGAACATGAAGGGTCCGGTGCAATGTAGATCGGGTGGCAAACCAAGGCGGGAGCCTTGGCGGTCCGATCCCCAGACAAGAAAACTGGTTTTTGGTACATGGAACGTCACTTCGCTGGCGGGGAAGGAGCAGGAGCTTGTGGCAGAGGTTGAGCGGTACCGGCTAGATAGTCGGACTCACCTCGACACATAGCATTGGCTCTGGAACCCAAGTCCTTGAGAGGGAGTGGATACTCTTCTTTGCTGGAGTTGCTCCGGGTGAGAGGCGGAGGGCTGGGGTTGGCTTTTTGTTAGCCCAAAGACTCTCTGCCTGTGTGTTGGGGTTTACCCCGGGGAACGAGAGGGTAGCTTCCCTGCACCTTCGGGTCGGGGAACGGGTCCTGACTGTTGTTTGTGCATATGGGCCAAATATCAGTTCAGAGTACCCACCTTTTTTGGAGTCCCTGGAACGAGTGCTAGATAGTGCTCCATCAGGGGACTCCATTGTCCTGCTGGGGGACTTCAATGCTCACGTGGGCAATGACAGCTTGACCTGGAGGGGTGTGATTGGGAGGAACGGCCCGCCTGATCTGAACTCAATTGGTGTTTTGTTAATGGACTTCTGTGCAAGCCGCAGTTTGGCCATAACGAACACCATGTTCGAACATAAGGATGCCCATCGGTACACTTGGTACCAGGGCAGCCTAAGTCGCAGGTCGATGATAGACTTTGTAGTCGTATCATTTGACCTGCGGTCGTATGTTTTGGACACCCGAGTGAAGAGAGGAGCAGAGCTGCCAACTGATCACCACCTGGTGGTGAGTTGGATCAGATGGCAGGGGAAGATGCTGTGTAAACCTGACAGACCCAAACGCATAGTGAGGGTCTGCTGGGAACGCCTGGCAGAAGAATCTGTTAAGACGGTCTTCAACTCCCACCTCCGGCAGAGCTTTGACCATGTCCCGAGTGCAGTGGGGGACATTGACTCCGAGTGGGCCTTGTTCCACTCTGCGATTGTTGAGGCGGCTGTTGCTAGCTGTGGTCGCAAGGTGGCCGGTGCCAGTCGTGGTGGCAACCCCCGTACCCGCTGGTGGACACCAGAGGTTCGGGGAGCCGTCAGGCTGAAGAAGGAGGCCTACAGGGCGTGGCTGGTCTGTGGGTCTCCTGAGGCAGCAGACAGGTACCGGATAGCCAAGCGGGGTGCAGCAGTGGCAGTTGCCAAGGCAAAATCTCGGGCGTGGGAGGAGTTTGATGAGGCCATGGAGAAAGACTATCAATCAGCTCCAAAGAGGTTCTGGCGCCTCAGGAGAGGAAGGCAGCAACTCACTCACGCTGCTTACAGTGGGGATGGGGAGCTGCTGATGTCAACTGTGGCTATATTTGGACGCTGGAAGGAATACTTTCAGGATCTCCTCAATCCCACCTACGCGCATTCCGAGGAGGAACCAGAGCCGGGAGACCTGGGGATGGACTGTCCAATCTCGCGGGCAGAAGTTGCTGAGGTAGTCAAACAACTACACAGCGGCGGAGCCCCGGGGGCGGATGAGGTTCGTCCTGGGTATCTCAAGGCTATGGATGTTGTAGGGCTGTCATGGTTGACACGTCCCTGCAACATTGCATGGTCATCGGGGGCAGTTCCTGTGGAGTGGCAACTGGGGTGGTGGTCCCCATCTTTAAGAAGGGTGACCTGAGGGTGTGTTCTAACTATAGGGGGATCACACTCCTCAGCCTCCCTGGAAAGGTCTACTCAAAGGTACTGGAGAGGAGGGTCCGATCGATAGTTGAATCTCAGATTGAGGAGGATCAATGTGGTTTTCGTCCTGGCCGTGGAACTGTGGACCAGCTCTATACCATTGCAAGGGTGATGGAGGGGGCATGGGAGTTTGCCCAACCAATCCCCATGTGTTTTGTGGATTTGGAGAAGGCTTATGACCGTGTCCCCAGGGGCACCCTGTAGGGGACGCTTTAGGAGTATGGAGTGGGTGGCTTTCTGTTAAGGGCCATTCAGTCTCTTTACCAGATGAGCGTGAGTTTGGTCCACATAGACGGTAGTAAGTCGGACCTTTTCCCAGTGAGTGTTGGACTCCACCAGGGCTGCCCTTTGTCACCGGCTCTGTTGATTACCTTTATGGACAGAATTTCTAGGCGCAGCCGTGGTGTGAAGTGTGTCGAGTTTGGTGGCAGGAGAATCTCGTCTCTGCTTTTTGCAGATGATGTGGTCCTCCTAGCTTCATCCAGCTCTGACCTTCAGCTCTTGCTGGGTAGGTTCACGGCCGAGTGTGAAGCGGCTGGGATGAGGATCAGCACCTCCAAATCAGAGACCATGGTTCTTGACCAGAAAAGGGTGGCTTGCCAGCTCTGGGTCGGGGAGAGGTCCAACCTCAGGTGGAGGAGTTTAAGTATCTCGGGGTCTTGTTCACGAGTGAGGGTAGGATGGATCGGGAGATTGACAGGCGGATTGGTTCAGCATCTCCAGTGATGCGGACGCTGAGCCAATCTGTCGTCGTGAAGGGGGAGCTGAGCCAGAAAGCCAGGCTCTTGATTTACCGGTCGATCTACGTCCCAATCCTCACCTATGGTCAAGAGCTTTGGGTAATGACTGAAAGAACGAGATCGCGGATACAAGCGGCCGAAAGGAGTTTCCTCCGTAGGGTGGCCGGGCTCAGCCTTGAGATAGGGTGAGGAGCTCGGACATTCGGGAGGGACTCCTAGTAGAACTGCTGCTCCTCCGGATCGAAAGGAGCCAGTTGAGGTGGTTTGGGCATTTAGTCAGGATGCCTCCTGGACGCCTCCCTGGGGAGGTGTTTCGGGCATGTCCTGCCGGCAGGATGGCCCCGGGTCCACCCAGGACACGTTGGAGAGGTTACATCTCCAATCTGGTCCCGGAACGCCTTGGGGTCCTGCCGAAGGAGCTGGTGGAGATGGCTGGGGAGAGGACGGTCAGGAGCTCCCTAGTTGGGACGCTGCCCCCGCGACCCGGACCCGGATAAGCGGAGGAAGACGACGACGACGGTATTACCCACAATTCATTACTGCGAGTGAAAGGCTCAAGTGCCAACTCCAACTTGTTTGCTTAAGGAGACAGAGCCCTGAAGTGGCTCACTTTGGAAGGTACTGAAAATGTCAAAGCTAAAATTGTTGAACTTGCTTTATGTGAGAGGGATTTAACACAAAGAAGTTTTTGAACATGTTTTGTATCAACTATAGAACTAATGTAGCTTAGGAAAAAAAGTAACAAGCCTTTAAATCCTTCAAAACACAAGAGCAGTAATTGTAAGAACTATACGTAGATAGATTATTTAGGTTCTTAGTCATTCTTACAGGTTTGCAGCTTAATTAAACAAAATATAAATGAGCCCAGTTGGAAACTCATTTGTGGAAATGCTGGAGTTCTGATGAATTACAGATAAACCTTTGGATGTTGAAGTAGACTATGTATTTATTGAAATGGTACAAATCACTACCGAAATACTGATCACTGCTGAATAAAACCACTCAAACGGAGCTCTTTCCTTTGGTCCTCTTCTTGAGGAAAGTCATATTTGGTTGGAAGGTTGTGGTATTTCCTTGCTGTGGCATTCTGAACAAAGTTCAGTCTGCTTTAGGTTTGTTAATGCGCCTCACTAAATGAAAAGCAGCGTGTTCAAAACATTTAAACATGTCTGTGGTCCATGTGTTTTCCACTTGTAAATGCATGTGAAATTTTCCCACCTTTTATATGTGAACTCAAAAGGTTTTGATATCATACGACTTGAATTCACAAGTGATCCTCAGCTTTGTTGTCACAGAGACGACAACAACTCTTTGAAGAAAGATGAAGACACCAACGTGGCTGAACAAACTCAGATCTACGCTCACGCACCAGAATCTCAGCCTCCCATGTCACTTTAAAATGATCTGGCACAGGTGGGATCTGGGAACAACTGTGATGTTTTTCATAAAACTCAGCTTGTGCGTGCTGCAATAAAATCTTGCCACATCCCCAGTGGTTGCTGTTTTCCTCCTGGCTGCCTCTTTATGGTTTCATCTACTGGCACCACCTTCTAATTCCAGTGAGGGAACCACAAATGATCCTCTAGCACTGGTATCACCAAAAGCAATCTACTTTTTTATCAAGTTGCAGCACAGAGCAAGAAACAAACAAATCAAACATTTATCCTTTTTTTTTTTCAAAAGAACAAAATGAGCTGAACATGTCGGATTCAGTTTTGGTTAAGAGCTTCCCTTCTGCAGCCTAAAATATTTGCATAGGATTTCTATGAAGGCATCCTGTTCTCTACTTCTTTTAGGCAAGTGTATCACAAAGAGTTGGGTGTGTGATGGAGACATTGACTGTGAGGATCGCTCCGATGAAGAGTTATGCGAGTCCGCTGTGTGCAAATCACCCAAGTACCCATGTGCCAATGACACATCTGCGTGCCTGACACCTGATAAGATCTGCAACGGGAAGGTGGACTGTGCAGATCGCTCGGACGAAGGACCCATCTGTGGTAATGTCTGGTTTTTGTTCTATTGCATTTGTCACCCTGCAAGTGAAATATACTGTACAGGTATTAGCTCTAATTCCTGTGGTCCGTAATGTGATGTCATCAAGAGGAGGAGGAGATTTAGACATGTGAATGGCTATTGCTTCCACAGTACGCTGGGGAAAAGCAGAGTCAACATAGAGAACGAATGTCTGATGGAGCAGAAGGTCAAACACTACTCTATCACAAAAGATAAATCCCTTTTAGTTCACCTCCCTCCTCTTCCAAAGTTGGTTTGGAGTTTAAAGACTGACTTTTAATTCAATGCAGTTGTTCAAGCTAGCATCAAATTAGCCTTCGGTAAACGTATACAATGGTTATCTGCGCTATTATTACTTTTAAATAAGCATTCAGTTAGAATTCTCTAAATGCAATAAATGACTTAGTATTCATTTGTCCAAAAGAAACTTTCCCTGCTCTTCATTTTTTATCATGAAGCACCTTCCATCTTTTAACCCTCCCACTGTCTTTATGGGCGACCCCGCGAGGAAAGTTGACCATTGAGCAGGATTGACGGTTTATCCCTTGAAGTCCACGTGGCGGGGTGAGGTGGTGCTCACTCCTCACCAGATCAAACCAGCCACAACATTTGGGATGAGCACTTAAATATAGACAAAAATACATATATTTCCATATTCTCTAGTAGGAATGAATGCCTCCTAGGTGGGGAAAAATATACCGGTGCACCTTTTCTAGAGCCTAAAAGTTCCCTCCTCATAGCTGAGCTGCAGACGGCAGATTATGGAGTCTTATTTCCTGACATTTTGAAATTTTGCCTCGGATTGGATAGCAGCAACGTGACTCTACCACTCACTTGCAACGAGGATGTTTTATCTCCACTAATAACACAAGCCTGGAGGATTTCTGCCATGTTGTGGAGTTCTAATGCTTAGCTTCTGCTAGCCGAGACATTTTCTGCTGTTTCCTGGACGCTAAACCAACAACAGCCTTCCCCATCGTGAGTCAAGATGGGTGAGTCCATGAATGCTAAGTGACAGTGTGACATAGATCTGTCAGGCTTTTCAAATCCTAGAGTTTCACTGTCTATTTTCTACAAAGAAGAAATAAAAAAGGAAAACAATCTTTTATATAGCACCTCTCAAGATAACAATCACCAGACGCTTCACAAAAACAAAAAAAAGTATGAAAAAAGATTTTAAAAAATGACTAAAAATATGTCTTTGTAATGATTTTTTTACATCTATTTAATGAACCATAAGATGTGAGATTCCATAGGAAATATGAAATCAATCTTATGGATCTTTGGGTACTTTTAACAGAAGATTGGAACTTTTTATTGCAGGGATTATGTAACACTTCGTATTAACTGAGAGACACGAGAAGAGAGAGTCACCTTTAACGTTTAAGAAGATTTATTTCTAAACAATTTTAAACAAGACTAACTCTAAACTCTAAGTGATGAATGGACCTTGGTGTGAATGAGACGTGAGATGAGTGGTGTGTGTGTGTGAGTGATGTTGTCATCAGAACTCTTGTATCCAGAGAAGCAAGTCTGAGTGGGAAGTGAAGTTTTGCTCTTAAGCTATGATCGGAGTTTCATAAACACATGAGACGCCATTTTGTCGCTCCACACATACCCTTCAGGATGAGACCTCCGTACAGATCCAGAATGCCAGGTCCTCGGACCGCCCTTTTGGTACCGGAACCGATGAAACAGCGTCAGCAGTACAACAGACTAGTCTTTGGATTGTCTCCAGGTAAAAAGCGACAGTTGGTTGACAGCGTCAGATGGACCCTGAGGGTCAGTGAGTTCAGCTTTTATTCTGAAAGGAATTCATCACTTAGAGTTTAGAGTTATTCTTGTTTAAAACTGTTTAGAAATAAATCTTCTTAAACGTTTTAAAGGTGACTCTCTCTTCTCGTGTCTCTCAGTTAATACGAAGTGTTACATAATCCCTGCAATAAAAAGTTCCAATCTTCTGGTTAAAATTACCCAAAGATCCTTAAGATTGATTTCATATTTTCTATGGAATCTCACATCTTATGGTTCATTAAATACGTGTAAAACAATCATTACATTTAAAATAAGAAAAAAATAAAAATTGTGGTTTAAAAATGTAAGGGGAGAGAAAATGAATAGGGAAGAGGGAAATTAGTGGATTTTTTCAGAAGCTAATACAGGAGATAGGTGTAGGAGACTATTTTCAAGCGGCACGCCATGCCGCACACTAAAGATAGCATTGGGTTCTACTTTTGCTACAAACTGCTTCTGGGACACGTCAATTTCCACAGTTAACTTAAGGCTAGACAGGAAGTAACCCACAATTTCATAAAATGTCCAGTAATTTTCTAAATGAGACTTTTGCAGCAATGCAGTTTCATATCTATATAGATTACATCAGTACAAGTGACCTCCAGCATTGTTCGAGATGTGCAACGGTGTGTTTTTCATGGCTTTAATCATGTCAGTGGAGAGGAACAGCATCGCATATGACCAGTGTTGGGAGTAACGCGGTACAAAAGTAATTAGTTACTGCAATGCATTGCTTTTTGCTGTAATGTGGTAATGTAAGGCATTACAGGGAAAGAAAATGGTAATATTTACTCAGTACAATTGTCAGTAACGCGGTAATTACAACGCATTATTAAACCCAGAATCAAGATGTGGGTTTCCTAAAAATTCAAATTGCGGGAAGCTTGAAAAAAGATCCAGTATCCACATATATGACGTCATTTAAGGACTCAGCTTTGCGGGCATTCTATGAACAGAGAGGACACAGCGGTAATGGCTCAAATACTCCAGCTGCGTCCTGCCTGCGGCCGCTGTTATATTCACAAAATCGCTCCACCACAACAAAGTAATTCATTTGCGATCGTTTATATCAGCCCATATTCTCTGGTACTTCATGTACTTTTCAGCTGAGTTCATAATCTGTGCGCCGGTCATTTCAACTCATTGTTGCTGGAGCGCAGCGCATATTAAGCTTTTTTATTTATTTATTTGCGTTCGGTAGATCCCTTTTGGCTGACTAGTTAGAAAGTAGGAAATCTAGGAAACAGTTTTTCTGGAAGACGTTGAAAACATGCAGCATGCAGGAAGGTTAGAGAAAGAAAGGAATTATTCAAATAAAATCAAGAAAACAAAACAAAGTGCTTGAAAAGAAAAAAAGTAGGTAGATTTATCCCCAAAACACATTTTTACCAGTGAAAAGCAATAATATATAAGCATTCAATATTTATACATGTGATAGAATCAGATCACCCCAGAAGTCAGTCCCACATCCAGGGCCGTATCAAGGCATTTGGGGACCAAGGCAAATATAGGCTTGGAGCCCCCACCACCTCACTCCCTGCTCAGTTAATATAAGATGGCAGCATGCTGAGAGTACAGATTGTTGTTGCTTTTATTTAATAAACAATCATTTTAAAGCATATCTGACTGTTTTAGACAGCAAATACCACATCACTTTCCACATATATGTCATGAGTTCTCTGAGCGTCAGCTTACCAGATTCATATTGAAGTTGTTTTGGTGAAAGTAACTTAAAGTAATGCAAAAGTAGTGTAATGCCTTTCATTTTAAAATGAGTAATATTGTAACGTAATGAATTACTTTAAAATGAGGGTAACAAGTAATACACAATGCATTACAGTTTTGAAGTAACTTGCCCAACGCTGCATATGACATCGTACAGCGATTTCAAACGTGATTTCCTTTATGGTTTAATTGTGGATGGAATTAACAAACCTGTAAAGTCTCGAGCGATTATGTGGTCTCGTGTGTCCTGCGATGAGTACAGCAGAGAAGCAACTCCGCAGCTGGGATGCTCCCGGTGTGTACTGGCACGCAATGAAGCAAAGCTGTTTCATTGCTGTTTCGTGCCGCTGATGCCTCAACTGTTAAGTAGGGGTCAGAGGAAATATAAATTATGAAGGATTAGCATATTTATATCATAGAACAGAGTCACATGGTCACATTGGAGCATTTATAAGTTACTTAAAAAAATGTAAACAACATACTCCAGCAGAGGGGCTTGAGATTACAGATCCACAGATGATTACTCTTATTCCACTTTCGTAACATTGACTGCTGTAACATTTATTAGCGTTCTGGGGAAAGCCTCAAGGTTTGCACTGGCAGCCTCACAGGCCCCATGACAATGCATCCCTAAAGTATTAGAAAGGTTTGGCTTCAGATATGTCAACAGTGTCTGCAGGCTGCTGAAAAACAACCACAACAAAAAAGTATCTGCAGAACATTGATATTTAGTGTTGTTTTGGTATCCTGAAGGACTTGTAGTAATAAAAACATTTAAATCCAATCTGACCACAGCTTTTATGCAAGAACAGAATCGTATAAAATGTTTATTTCAACATTATTTGTGAGGGTTAAAAAAAATCATTCTACCTGAAAACTCTTTTCGAGCACATTTGCATTCTGAACCAGTTATTTTGCAGCTGTATTGGTCTTCAGTCCTCATGCGTCGGACTGGAACCATCCTTAAAGCTGCCTTGCATAAAAGTTTGCGACTGTACCTTTTGATAGTGTTGAGAAAACATCTTCACGGAGACACAATAATGTCTAACTTGATGCAGTTGGGAAAGCAAATTGAACAGTCGAGAGACTGAAGACCTTGTTGCCTGCTGAGGAAGGAACCTCACAGCACCGGTGCAGACTATTATTAAAATTTTTCATTCTGAATTTTATCATTGAAGAGAATGTGGAAAAATTGCTTCTTTTTTTTTTTTAAGATAGCTTTTCTTTCACACTTCGTAGTTTAGAGCATGTCAAGTAACTAGGGTGTGTTGTCTGGGAGACCAGAGAGAGCAGGGTAAAAGGGTCCTTCTCAATATTAACAAATGTTGAGCAGATTGTTTAACAGCCTTTAGGGGAGCTGAAATCTCCTCGTGTGACTATCTCCTGCCATTTAAAATGGTGAAAGAGGCAGTGTAAACATCGAAGCTCATTTTCTAGAGTATCCATAACCAACCCTCACTGAGGCCCTACGGGACCCTCAAGAGCCATCATAGCTCCAAAGAGGCCTTCTGGCTCGTCTAAGACCATTAGAGTGTGATCGGAGGCTTCTCAAGGGACGGCTTGATTTGCACCAGATTCAGACCTACTGGGTAATATTCTTCATGACCAGAGAGCTGCTTTTATGGAAGAAATAGTCTCACTATTTTTTTTTTCAATTTAATTTATGATCTAGAATTTTTGTTCTGTGAAATTATGTATTTGAAATTTTAATTTTAAAGGTGTGGTTCACTGAAAACCCATTTTTTGATTATTTCTGATCAGTCAATCTGAGTTTTTCATGCAGGCTGAACAAACACCAATCTCCTGCATTGGCTTCTCATAGAAAATAGATGGTTAAACTCTAGGAATTCAAATGACAGATCTCCAACACATTGTCCCTGAACATTCATGGACTCGCCCATCTTGTCTCACGACAGGGAAGGCTGTTGTTGGTTTAGCGTTCCAAAAAACAGCAATCAGACTAGTTTAGGCTAATTGTTAGCATTAGCAACTTCACACAGCAGAACTCTTCCAGGATTGTGTTATTTGTGGAGATTAATCCATGTTCGAGTCCGTGATGGAGTCATGTTGCTGTTATCCAATCCAAGGGGAGCCAAATATTAGGAAACAAGACTGCAAATCCTGCCGTCTGAAGCTCAGCAGTCATGTGGGCCACTGGTAGTTCCTGGAAAGGGTGCACCGGTGATCCCCCCCCCCCCCCCCCCCCGAAAATGACTTACAAGGCATTCATTCAAGACCACTGCAAATGTATTGATTAAAAGAGTGATCCACACCATAAAAAAATTTTTATTTGTAAAAATTCATCAGCAAAAATTCCAGCATTTCATCTACAAAAATTGGGTTAGTGTGAATGTCACTTTTGTACAGTTTCAGAGTTTAGTTTTATCCGATCGAGTCGACAGCTCACTGGTGTCACATGATAAAAGAAGCATAATTTGATTGGCTAAAAGCCACTCGACTCAATCGAGTGACGATTACTTGGGCCTGGGTCACCAGGAGGTCACCCGAGTAGAATATTTGCTGCAGAATGTTGGCTGTTGAATTTTTACGGATGAGATTTTTGCCAGTGCGTTTAAGCTAAAAACATTCAAATACATAATTTCACCGAATAAAAATGCAATGTCATAAATATCAATGTTGAAAAAGTGTTTCACCACAGTGCAAAATGGTCACTTTTCACCGGTGTTTTCCAACTCGATCTTGAAGAACATTTTTGTTATGTGCACAAGAAGAAAATGCATTGATTAGAAAGATCTATACACCATTTCTGTCCTGCTTTCAAAAATGTTTCTGCTCTCTGTTTACAACAGACATGTGTCTTGTAGCCAGAGGGGGCTGCAGCCACCAGTGCAATGTGGCACCAGGTAAAGGAGTTGTGTGTTCTTGTCCCCCCGGGCTCCACCTGGTCTCGAGCAACAAGACGTGTGAGGTGGTGGACTACTGCAGCGGTCACCTGAAGTGCAGCCAGGTGTGTGAGCAGTACAAGACCACGGTGAAGTGCTCCTGTTATCCTGGATGGATACTTGATCCAGATGGAGACACCTGCCACAGCACGGGTAACAGAGCCTGGCATTCCTATGTTTGTTTTATGACGCTGCAGGCTGATGTGATTCTGAGTCTTACGTTAGGGCAAACTCGTCAATCTTTCATTTTTCAGTTTCCATCTGTTGAGCAGAGTTAGCGAGTTATTGGAAAACAACGAATATAAGTCATTCATGTGAGATTCAATAAATTTATTAGAGGAACTGAGTGAACCATACAAGTGGAACTGCAGCCCAGTGAAATGTTTGTGTCTGAGCGCTAGAAAAGGTGAAGAGGTGGCCACGAGTATAGACATAGATGTTTATTTAAAGTGTTTTGGATTCAGTCATTTTAAAATGTGAAGAGGCACCGTGGTGATGAGTCCTGCCGGGTTCCATCAGCGCTGATGCTGAGTGAAGGAAACATGCTTCCTCTTCACAAACCCGAGAGCTTTGAGTCTTCGTTCAGCTGTGCAGATATTCACCTCAGGCCTAACCCAATACCGCAGGCATTTCACCAGACTAGCGCTTCAAACATTCCAAATCTGCTTGTCTGATTGCTGGTGCTGGATAAATCCATTTGATGAGATGGCTGCTTGAAAGCACTTGAAATACAATAGGGGTGCCCGTGCTTTGGCTTGTCACATTCTGATTTATGGACCTTGTTTTGATGACTTGCGTCTCTACTTCACTCCAGGATAGACGCCGCTGTAATCAGACATTAACATGAGGAAAAATACACAATTTCATCTTGCAGCTAATTGCAATTTTGTTCATCATATACAGAGGGTTGGGCGATATATTGACATTTTTAAAGTATCTATAGTATTTCAAACCAGAAACAACATGACTCAGTGTTGTTTATTTCAATTTAAATATACAGCCAGTGTGTTTCTAGGGTTAGCAGGTGCAGCTACCGCTATCCGCTAACTTTCTCCGTTATGGCATGTATTCTCACGTGTTTGCCTGGTTAGGAAAACTCTGGATCAATGTTCTGCCTTAAGCGTTGCATTTGGCTTTGTGGTTTTGAATTATTTGGGGATGTTTGTTCATGGTTTCAGCGAGATTTGTTTATCCTGCTTGTGTGGAGAGACGGGTCAAACCCATCCCTTGTGTAATCAGGGCATTGGTGCGGAGAGATGCTGATGAATCTGCTGATGGATTTACTTATTCAATATACATTGAGATATATATCGTGTATCGGAATTCAGCTAAAGAGATAGAAGTTTTGGCCCATATCGCCCAACCCTACATTTACCAATCTTCACATCTTCCAGATTATTTTCGGGGGGGAAAAGCTTTGCTTTCCTCATCTTAATAAGATGCTGGTAATAAAATGAAACTCTCAATGGATTGTAGCTTGTTTGGCAACGAGAGTGTGTCACTAAAGGAAGGACATCACTTTAATTATGTGTGTGCAAACAGCTCTCATTCTTTTAGCAGTGGTGGAGAGTGTTTAGAAGAATAGAAATCCCTTTTTGAAATCCTCTTTATGTTCAGTTAGGCGGTGTTGTACACAAGCGTCTAATGTTGAATATGAGTTTTGTCGTCGTCTCTCAGAAGAGGAGCTGTAATGAAGGCAGAGGCAATCATAGTGATCGAAGCGAACCTCTGTGGACAGGGCCATCGAGATGTAAAATGAAGGCACTTGCGTCTAATTTTACCAACTTTTTCATTTTATTGAATTATTTTCAAGATATTGCCGCATGCATTCATCAGAACACACTATGTACAAATATGTCTACTTGTTTGGAAAATGGAAAATTTGAATGTTTTCATTCCCAAAGCGTTGGGCAACAGATTGGTTTGGCTGCAAGTGGTGCATATTAATGTGCACCGCACGGTGGCATAAACCAGTGGAACATGTTTGCAACCATTTCCTTCTTGAGAGCAATCGGACTAAATGCGAGTGAAAAGAAATATGTGAAAGCAAATAGGGCTCAAGCAGTTTTATTTTTAAACTCCACTAGTTTAGAAAGAAAAGATTGCCATGGACAATATTAAACATGTATCTGCTTTGCAGGATGTGATTCTGCATGTGTCCAAGGAAATGATTAACAACAAAGATTGGTTTCACAAACAAGTGACGCTGATTTTTGATTTCAGGGAAGCACCCGGTTTTAGAGGTCCTTTAGTCAGTTAGTTTAGACACCCTTTAAATGTAAATATATAGTCTGGCAACAACTTACAGACTGAGCTCAGTCAAGGGGGCAAATCTACAGTTGTGTTTGAAATAGTTGCTTAATTTAATTGAACGGCGCTAAAACCAATCACAGCTAGTGACACAGCGATGGAGATCAGTCAACGGCGGAGTCCGCCAGAAGAACAAGAATCATTTTTCTACATAAATGACCTAAGGATCTCTATTTGCTCATGTCTCAAAGTAAAGCCCAAGTCTAAATCGTCCAATGCCAATGATGCCAAACCCTTTTCAAATGAGTGCCGTGCCTTAGCTAGCGCCATCTTTGTAGTTTAGCTACATTGCAGCTCTGCCATCATCGTAATAAAAAAGCCTCTGCTGCAGTGGTGCTTAACCTGTCAAACATCTCTACCATCATAGAGCGCTGTGATTGGCTTGGCTTATGATTAAAGCAGGCCAAAGGTAGACCCACCAAGGCTAAAATGGCATCTGGCTAGACCAGCCTGCAGAGCAAAGTCTTTTGCTGCTGCTACGGCTGTTCTAGCCAAGCTAGACTGACATTCATCGCTTTCACCCTTCCCCAATCCTGGTTGGATGTGTGGCGCACTCAAATGGCTCGCAGTGATATCCACTCCTCATTTCCTCTATCCCCCTCCCCATGCAGACCAGCAGAGGCTGAGAGCATGCTGGAGAAGTGTGCACTCCCTTGGTTAGGCGGGGGTCCCGGCCCCTTACATATATATATATATATATATATATATATATATATATATATATATATATATATATATATATATATATATATATATATATATATGTATATATGTATATATATATATATATATATATATATATATATATATATATATATATATATATATTTGTATATCAGAGTTTTCTCCTGTTGGGAGTAACTGTGGAATGCCTTCTCTTCCCTCCCTCCCTCCTAGCCTCTTGTTATCCTTTCTTGTCTAAATGGAAAGGAGCACCGTGTAGTGGCTGCTGTCATAGCCTATACCTGCTATACCTGTATGTGTTTGTATTTATTCTTGGTCAGGTTTTGTTGTTGAGTCTTAATTCTGTTGCCCCAGGATGCTGGTGCAATGACAATGATGCTGATTCTGATTTGATCCATGACAAAATATATGAACAAAATCTAAAAGGACTTAATTAGCCATAAATCCAAAAATGAGATTTTTCTTTGTATTAATTCAGAACTGAAAAAAGTTTCTTTGTCTTCTCTTCATCAGATCCTTTTGAGGCTTTCATCATTTTCTCAATCCGACATGAGATAAGACGGATAGACCTTCACAAGAGAGACTACAGTCTGTTGGTGCCGGGACTGAGGAACACTATTGCTTTAGACTTCCACTTTAACCACAGCCTCCTGTACTGGACAGATGTGGTGGAAGATAAGATCTACAGAGGAAAGCTCTCCGAGTCTGGTGGTATGCATAAACACACGGACAAAAGACACCAGTTTTATTATTCACTCTGGGTGAAGAAGGCTGCAAATCTCACTCGTTTGCTTGCAAGTGACGCATTAATCAATGTCAAAATGTTCAAAGTGAAACTGTCCTGTTTTATTTAGCTGCCTGTACACGTACTTAGTACTGATCCAAAGCATTTATTTAGTTTCATCCTAGAAATTTGTGTCGTCTTGGCAAACGCCAACGGGAGATATACAGCAGGACCAGAAATCTTCAGCTTCTCTAGCGTATTATCTCACCCTCTTAAAAACCCCGTGAATCAGAACGTCTTGTTGCATCTGTGCTTTTGTGGGTGGCGGTTCTCTTGAATTTATTCCCCTCCGTGGGAGCTGTAGCAATCAACTCTCAGCGGTGCACATTCCACCCTTTTGTGACATGTACATAAAAGAGCAGACATGTGAGAATAATGAGACAGTCAGATTAGAAGTACAGTGAGCAAATTCATTTACCATGCTAAATGGAACCTTGGAAAAGGCAATCCTTTTTATAATAAAAAGTTTTCCTGAAGATTTCTTTGAGCCTCCTTTTGTGAATAGTTTCTTGAAATCCGTCTTCACGAGCCGCTCTTTAATCTGACTGCAGTGGATGTCAGTGCAGTGCACTCATGCTGTTGTCTTGACGATATTGTTTCAGGCGTGACAGCGATCGAGGTGGTTGTGCAGCATGGTCTGGCCACTCCAGAGGGCCTGGCTGTGGACTGGATTACAGGAAAACTGTACTGGATTGATAGCAATCTGGACCAGATTGAGGTGGCTGAGCTTAATGGGAATATGCGAGCGACACTCATTGCAGGAGGAATGGAGCATCCACGCGCCATCGCTCTAGACCCAGGACAGGGGTATGTTCTTCACAAACATGGACAAAAGTAACTACGTTCTGTAAAGTTTCTGTTCATTTTGGGTTCATTTGTTCTGATGTAAATAGAATGTGTTGATGGTCCACTGAACACATTAAAGCTCACGCTGTTGCTCTTCATGTAAGGAAAACCATTTCCTCCTTGCGTGGTTCACTACACATTAACTCTTGTTGAGCGCCGACGCCGTCCTCTGACACTGCAACCGTGAACTTTTTACATAAACACACCCAGGGTTGTCTTTTGTTCCCCGTTGAATCGGCCGCCTATGGGCCCGATTCTTAAAACCGTGTTTTTGTTTACTCTGCTGCAATTCACGGAGTGTGTTTGCAGAATTATCTGTGAGTCTGAATTCCCAGGATTTTCTTTGCCCCACAGACAAACTGTTACAGTCCAGTAATTACACGCAGTTGGTATTGTAATGAAACTTTACTTTGGTCAGCACTGACTGTTATTCACAAGTTGTACATCCTCTTTATTTGGGGATTTCCTCATTCCTTTTTTGAATAAATCTAGATTAACCACAAAAGGAAACAAAATGCAGAACATTTACGTCAAGTTCTCTGAGTATAGGGAACTTCCTTTATCTATATTCAAGGTGCTGTATGAAAACATGAAAGTGATCCACGTGCTGTTGTCTGCAGTCAGCATGTTGTTTAATTTTTCTTTAAGATGCTAACATGTTGTGTTACTTGGAAAACGGTTGTTCTTTTGGTTTAAGGTCAACGATTCACATTTATACTGCCCATTTAAATGTTATTTTCACGCAGCATCCATTTTTAATTCATCCACGTACAACAGCAACTTGCACACGGTTTTAAATGATGTTTAGGGTCAAAGATGCAGTCTTCCTTTCTTACCGGTGAGGAAGACCGTGCCTCCTCCTTTCCTTGACACTGTCGTAAAAACTTTAAAGATTTATGAGCGTGTAAGCACAACAAAGGCAATAGCACTTTCTTGTCAGTGAAGTCACCTCTCTGCAGCTACCCCTCCCTCGGGATCTGCATGGAGAAGGGTGGGATTAGAGATTTTTCAGTCTCTGATTATAAAAATGACACATTTAGACAACAAACCTGAAACATCTTGGAGCCAGAGTCTCAGACTTTGATGTAGGGCTGCTCGATTAATCCAATTTTAATCACAATTATGATTTGTGTTTTGTACGATAATATAAACAAAATGAGCTGATTATTTGACCCTTCCTTGCAGTGTACTCATGCTGCTCCGAGCTGAAAATCGAGTGAACATCCCATACTGTGTTGCCTACTTAGCTACTTTGTCACTATTTCTAACAACCTTTGTGACTTTTTCCTCCCAAAAGCATCTAGTGATTAACTTAGCAACCTTTCTGGTAACCCTTATCTACTTTCAGTGGAACTTTGTCGTTGATAGTCTCTGCAGGTTAGTAAACACCCAGCATGCCCTCCGGACCTCTCAGACCTGAGGTGACTTCCTGGTGGCCCAAGCCAAAGTAATGGTCACTCAACTGAGTCAAGTGGCTTTAGCCAATCAAATTACCTTTCTTTGGTCACATGACACCAGTGAGTTTTTGACTCGATCAAGCGACGATTACTTTGGCTTGGCTCATTTGTGGTTGAATGAGATAAAATTCTGCAGTTGAAATGTTATGGATGAAATTTTCTTGAGTGTATTTTAGGTTAAAAAGTTCAAATATATAATTTCACAGAATAAAATCTCAACGTCATTCTGCTGAGACTGTATTTCGTACTTACTCCTACTACCAACCCACATTTTAGAACTCAAGTAACTTCTTACATGAGAGGCGACACATCTTCACTCAAGATTATCATACCCTGGATTACTGCTAATCTATGCAAATTAAATTCTCTTTACAAAGATAAAATATACCCAGATTCATATACAGATTTCTCCACATTTAAAATGTCCTTTAAACGTCATAAATACTGTTAAAACTTCTGCATTACTATTAGATTATTTGGTTGTGAGATTACTCAGAAAACTGAACCCTATTTTTCTGCTGTGGAGGTTTTGCTTCCATCTCTTATCAGGTGCTTACTGGCGGCATGGCAGAACCTAGATGTTATAAAAATCAATTGAACACTTTTAAGAAATGAGTTAGATGCTCTAACGCTCTTCCCAATGTACTCGCTCACATTTGGGAGGAGGACTACAGTACATTTCATGGTTGTGCAGAGTAGGATTAATGGGTGCTTTTGGTGCCTAAAGGCGCATTTCCATTAGAGGGCAATAATTCTAATCGTATTACTTGAATCCACTCAAAGGAGTGGGTCATTGATCACGGAGGCCTTATCAAGTGAATAAGACTATCGATCTAGACAAGGATATTTCTTCCTAACGCTGTTTTGATGTCATCGGTATGTGATTTAAATGCGAGCACCCCTTTTTCTTGGCCTGTCTGAAATCATTCAAGATTTTGAAACATTTGGGGCCTAAAGGTTTTATAGTAAATTTCTACTTCATTTAGCAGAAAACTTTAGGTTGAAGGGCCCATTGAAGTTAACGTTGGCAGACTCAAGTCCAACCTAGTTTGACTGACAGTAAATGTATACTGATTCAAATATTTTAAATTCTGCAACAAATCATGCGATCTGAGTGTGCAGCTGACAAATAATAATCATCAGTGTAGAGCCTGCATGGTATCTGCTTTCAGTAAGCAGGCAGTGCATTTTCTTTGAACTGTGAATTAATCCATCCATCCATCCATCCATCCATCCATCCATCCATCCATCCATTGTCTGAACCCGCTTTGTCCACGTAGGGTCACAGGGGGGTGGGGGGTTGGGGTGTGTGGCTGGTGCCTATCTCCTGCAGTCAATGGGCAATCAGGTGGGGTACACCCTGGACAGAGAGCCAGTCCATCACAGTTGTGAATTAATTTCCAGTGTTAATTACTCATACATCAGCAGTAACTCAGGTGGTAGAGCGGGTTGCCTCATGATCGGAGGGTCATGGGTTCGATTCCAGCTCCCGCCAGGGGAATCCTGCTGCTGTGTCCTTGGGCAGGACACTTCACACAACTTGCCTGTATTAGTGGTGGTCAGAGGGGCCGACGGCGCCAAATGGCAGCCTCGCCTCTGTCAGACCTCCCCAGGGCGGCTGTGGCTACAAGTAGCTTACCATCACTAGCAGTGTGTGAATGTGAGAGTGTGTGAAAGCGTCTTTGGGCGTCTAGAAAAGCGCTGTATAAGTTCAATGCATTATTATTATTATTATTATTTTTGTGTTTTAGTGTTGGGCATTGTTTGAATTCTGATTCCAATTTCCCATTTTAGTTTGGGTTCCTAGGTGCAGCCAAGGTGGTGAGGGGGATCCATTTTGGTGGCCTGAGGATCGGGTCTCTGCTTTTTGCAGCATTCATCAGAACGTGATCTCCAGCTTTCACTGGAGTGGGTTGCAGCAGAGTGTGAACCAGCAGGGATGAGAATCAACTTCTCTAAATCCGAGACCATGGTCTTGAGTTGGAAAAGGGTAGAATGCCTTCTCCGGGTCAGGGGTGAGGTCCTGCCTCAAGTATAGGAGCTTAAGTATCTCTGGGTCTTGTTAATGAATGATGGAAAGATGGAGCTGGAGATTGATAGGAGGATTGATGCTGCGTCTGCAGTGATGCGGGCGTTGTACTGACTTGTTGTGATGAAGAGAGAGCTGAGCCGGAAGTCAAAGCTTTCGATTGACGAGTTGATCTCTGTTCCTACCCTCACCTTTGGTCACAAGCTTTGGGTAGTGACTACAAGAATTAGATCGCAGATACAAACGGCTTAAACGAGTTTTCCCTTCAGGGTGTCTGGGCTTATCCCTCTGGGAGGAGGTCGGAGTTGACCAGCTGTTCCTCACATCAAGTGGAGCCAGTTGACCTGGCTTGGGCATCTAGTTAGGACGCCTCCCTGATGAAGTTTTCTGGGCACTTCCAACTGGGAGGAGACCTAAAGGAAGACCCAGGACACGCTGGAAGGACTGTTTCTCGGCTGGCCAGGGAATGCCTTGGGATTTCCCCGGAGGAGCTGGCCGAAGAGGCTGGGGAGAGGGAGGTCTGGGCCTCCCTGCTTAGGCTGCTGCCCCCATGACCCATTAAGCAGACGATGATGGATGGACGAACGGATAGATTTATTCCAGTTTCTAGCGATCCTCAACTTTTTCAAGAGACAAGACAGCTTTATTTCTATAGCACATTTCCTACACAAAGGCAGCTCAGTGTGCTTTACAGCATGAAGGTATGAAGGTTGCATGTTGTAAATGAGCTAGCTAACAAAAGATCTTACTTGATTGTCTTTTATGAACTTTTTTAAATGAAGCCACACTTTAGAAAACCTCCACACATTTTCACAATTGCACAAAACACTTCCGGCCGGATTCTTCATCATTCAGCGAACTGAGTATCAAAACTAGGATTCGGAATTAAAAATGTGACTGATTCCAGGAAATACTGAAAATTAGTCTGTTTCAGTCAATGCTCAATGCCCAACCGTGGATCAGATCCTAGATCCCTGAAAACCTAAATCATTTCAGACAAAACCACAATGTTAATTGCTGCATCTGATTTCCAGGATCCTCTTCTGGACCGACTGGGATGCCTCATTTCCTAGAATCGAGGCTGCATCTATGAGTGGAGGTGGCAGACACATTGTGTTTAAGGATATGGAGATTGGGGCTTGGCCCAATGGACTAACGCTGGACCATCTGGAACGCCGGATGGTTTGGACGGACGCACGGTTTGTAATTTTGTAGGGTGTGTGAAATCTTTCACATTCCTAATGCATATGTGATCTTAAATACTGCAAAAGATGCAGCAGTCTCTGAAGAAATTTTTTAACATCTCATTCTCCTGGTGATCGTTCAATTATGCAAAACGTGCAATATTAATAGACTTAAAAAAGTTGCCACTGGTTGTTTTAAGTGGGTCTTGAACTATTTAATAGTTCCATCTGAGGGCTTCACTTTGATCTGTCTTCATCCTCTCTTTCAGTGCATTAAAGGGTGGTTTAAACTTTGATATGCTGTTGGTCTCTCTTCAACAGCTCCGACGCCATTTTCTCTGCACTCTATGACGGCAGTGGGGTCATTGAGATCCTCAGAGGCCACGAATACTTGTCCCATCCTTTTGCCGTGTCTCTGTTTGGAGGAAATGTCTACTGGACGGACTGGAGGACAAACACATTGGCGAGAGCCAATAAGTGGACCGGGCAAAATGTCACAGTCATCCAGAAGACAAGTGCTCAACCTTTTGACTTGCAGATCTTCCATCCCAGCAGGCAACCACAAGGTGAGAACAGTCCAGTGGTGCTTGATATTGACCAGCGTTATGTTGTTTTTTAATGAAATTCTGTGTCGTGCTGCAAAATGCAATTACAAAATAAAATAGGATCTAATTTTTTTTGTGTTACTTCTGCTTTCATTTGAGCTGTCAGTCAAGCAGCATGTGTCTGAATAAAAGAGGTGCTCATGCAGAGAATGAGCCAAGTTAAGTTAATGCTACCTTTCAGTGTGTTTTTCTTAATATCCAAATTATTGTAATTGGCTCATGCCACTACATTAAAGATTTTTAGTTTCCTTTCATGTGCTGAATTGAAATGGAGAGAGCTGGAGAGTAAAATTCACATCTGCTGTTGAAAAATGGTGGGATATTTGTTACACAAATAGGTGACTAATGGAGAGAAGGTGGTGCTTTTACTCGAGGTGATTCTTAGCCTGAAATCTGTCGCCACTAATCAGTTATGTGTCACAAGGTAAGTCATGATTCTCGGACACAATTTTCCCATAAGTTACTAACTTATATGTGAAAAGGGGATTAGCCAAGCTCCAAAGCTTCACTTCAAAATAAATGTTTTTAAACTACATTTAAATTAATTTCTAAAACAAACCTTTAAAAAAACAGTAACTGATGGAAAATTCTATCTATGTGTGCCAAGACTGTCTGGTTTTATGAATGTCCATCCCAGTCGCTTTCCTCTGTGTTGCCAAGTTTCAGGACCTCTCCCTCAGCTCTTTGCATAATTGAGCTACCATTCATAAAGGAAAATGAGTTGTAATCAGGTTTACATCTGTTCTCTGATTCCACCGCCTCACCAGTGTGAATTTGTTAAATCACTTGCTTCACCTCCGTATTTAGATTCATACAATTGTTCACCATGGATGCATTATAGGTGAATGAGAGCATTCTTTAAAGAAAAAGACACTCAGTTTTTTTTAAATAGCTCACCTGGGAAGAAATGACTGATCTCCTTTCTAGTTTTAAGCTGTAAACTTGTAAACATCTGGTCAAATGAAGTAAATGACTGAATGAATGAATAAAAAAAGTAATGAATTTGATGACAATGAAAGGAAAACCAACACAGACTTGGTTTTCTCTGGAGACATTTAACAGATGTCATATTGGATCTCCTCTAGAGGCAAAAGCAGCCTGACAATCCGTCGACTGAAAAGAATAACATGAATTTATCATATCTGTTAAAGAGCTTTTAAATTAGGAAAGCTTGGCAGGTTGGTGGTGCAGGATTTATTACACGTATTAGCATAAAATTACAAAGAATATAAATATACACATCTATCTATCATCTATCGATCTGTCTGTCTGTCTGTCTGTCTGTCTGTCTGTCGTCTATCTATCTGTCTGTCTGTCTGTCTGTCTGTCTGTCTGTCTGTCTGTCTATCTATCTATCTATCTATCTATCTATCTATCTGTCTGTCTGTCTATCTGTCTGTCTGTCTGTCTGTCTGTCTGTCTGTCGTCTATCTATCTATCTATCTATCTATCTATCTATCTGTCTGTCTGTCTGTCTGTCTGTCTGTCTGTCTGTCTGTCTGTCTGTCTGTCTGTCTGTCTGTCTGTCTGTCTATCTATCTATCTATCTATCTATCTATCTATCTATCTATCTATCTATCTATCTATCTATCTATCTATCTATCTATCTATCATCTATCACCTGTCTGTCTGACTTTCTGTCTGTCTGTCTGTCTAATCATGCTAACTTTAAAGCCACACTAAATAAGTTTCCCGCTTCTCCCCCTACTGGTTCAAAGTCAAATTACAACAGTCATAACCAACCCTGCCGCAGCCTGCTGTAGCTAGTGCTAACAATGAGCTAACACTAATATGACCCAGCTCATACAAAGTAAACCACAAAGTAAAAAGATCCACACTGTTGGTCCAAAAATATTTATATTACAAGTCCAGTAGCAACAAAGCCAGGTCACCATCAGTCTGTGGTTCCGTAGCCTCCTTTACCAGTGTAGGCCATGTCGATAATCACTCTGGTTTTCAGCTCTGTGCTTTGCCTCCAAAAACATTACTGTCTTACCTTTACCTCCAGGCTCTGCCATGATGCCAACAAAAAAACAAAACTCTTCTTCTTCTTCTTGTGCGTTTTCTTGACGGTTGGCGAACTGAAAAAGCTACTAGCACAGGGAGCGGTGATTGCCGTAAAGCAGGTCGAGAGCTCCCACTAGTGTCCCTACTCCAACCACGCAACTCTTAAGTGTAGTTTCTGCTCAGCAGAGGGCAGCAGAGTGCTGTACAACGTGACGTTGCTCTGGCTCAAGAACCAGTAAAACCAGTTTGAACGCAATAGGGTAAAGTTTTAAAAACTCTTCAGTGTTGCTTTAAGTCAGGGGTCCCCAGTCCTGGTCCTGGACCGGTATCCAGCAGGTTTTGTGGTTTTTTTCTGCTCCTAAAGATGTGATTCAGTGGTTGAAAAACCTGTGCAGCAGCTCATCAGGCTCTGCAGAAGTCTGTTAACTAGCTGCTGATTGAAATCAGGTGTGTTGAAACAGAGTTCAAACTAAGGCCCTGTCCACACGTAGCCGGGGATCTACACTGTCATCCACACGAAAACAGATCTTTTTAAAAACTCCGGCCAAAGTGAAGATCTGCGTTTTCTCCGTTTTGGGTGTCTGCGTGTGGACAGACAAAACCGGAGTTTTAAGGTCCGCAACGTCACTTTCCGCGACAAATAAATGCTGACATCACGTGTGCGACCTGTGTTTACACTAGCCGTCAGCATGGATGCCCTCAGAGCTGCGCTCGCTTTATCAATTGTCCAAGCGCTTTTTGCTTGTTTGTTTTTGCAAGCGGAATTACTGCTCCTTGCGGAAGACCACAGACGAAGGACGAGGTTAAGAACGGGGGAAGTACTGCCGCCTACAGGTCTGGCATGTCCTTAACAACGTATTTATCCGGGTACGTGTGGACAGAGTTTTTTTTTTTTAAATGAGGTGGTGTGGATGAAAGTTTTTGGAGGGGCGGATATTCGTTTAAAAAAACGGTTACGTGTGGACTAGGCCTAAAACATGCGGGATACCGGCCCTCCAGGACCAGGATTGGGGACCCCTGCTTTAAGCCATTCTTTATAAAGTTTGAAGTGCTAAGCATGTTTGTAACTTCTGCACCCCAGTTGTAGTTTTCAGCCCTATGCCTTGTAAATATTGCTGCGGCAGTAATCTTTAAAATGTGCTTTTTATAAAAGATAAGACCTACAGAAAGAGACCAAAAGAAAGTCAGATTTTTCTTTTTGCATCTGCTATGACAGATAAGTGTATTTATCCTATCTTTCTTTTCCCTGTTTGCTTCAAAAATGTGACAGTTTAGCACAAACACCTTGGTCCTGTTGTCGCTGCCTGTCATCCCTCAAGAGCATCCGAGTCAGCGCTGCACAGTTCAGATGGCTGCATATTAGCACACCGAGTCAGCTGGGTGTTGTTTTGAGCTGGCAGGAACAGAGCTGCGTTTTTTTTCCCTCCCCTCTTTCTCAGTTCAGTCACATTCATGATGCAGTGGGATTATTACTGAAGGCTCTCTGGAAATGAACTCTGGATGAGGATGTTTGACATGAATCATCCAGAGAGGACGGAGAAACTGTTGTTTTTGAAGCGTGAAACGTGACTGCAGAATGATGGAACTATTAAATTCTGGGCGACTTTTTTTCTCTCTCTGGGTGAGGTGATTTATTTTTAACAAGTACAGTAAAAAATAAATAAATAAATAAAAGAGCAGGCTATAGAAGTAATCCTAAATCCTGTAAATCATTACTGTTGGGACACTGCTCGGGTTAGCTTGATGTGCGGGAAACTGCCAATAGCTTAAAAAGCTCTTGTAGCAACGACGTGACAGCGATAGTTTTGCTCTATCTTGTAAGAGAAGACTTTATGCATTATTGCACATGCTTCACCCATCCGAAAGATAAAGAAAACGACAACAATATAGTCCGAGTTGTTGCCAGCTATGCGTCCTTTATCTCTCTTTATGCAGCACAGCCACACTGACCCGTAAATGTCACATTGCAGAGACTTCTGGACCACTTCAATCCCAGTAATGATCCCAGGCAGTCTCCTTGCCGTTTAGCTGTATGCTGAGTGTTCTCTCTCCTCCCTCCTTCCCTATCAGCCTCAAACCCATGCGAGGAGAATGATGGACGTGGTCCCTGCTCACATCTGTGTCTCATCAATTACAACCGCACCGCGTCCTGCACCTGTCCACACCTCATGAAGCTTTCAGCCAACAAACAATCCTGCTTTGGTGAGCGACAACTCCACCCTCGTTTTTCATGCCTCGGCCCGGCGCAAACATAAAAGTCTTTGTGAGCGACAAGAGAGGCATTTGTCTTTATGGAAAACTGTTCTCAGCTTATTATCCCACTTTTGGTTGGATTTTAAATCAGACATTTTTAAATGACTGATCTTTTTACCATCTCACCAGCGCTAAAAAGGTTCCTCCTGTACGTGCGCCGGTCCGAAATCCGTGGCGTGGATATTGACAACCCATACATGAATGTCATGACGGCTCTGACTGTGCCAGACATCGACGATGTCACTGTGGTGGACTTTGATTCTCTGGAGGAGAGGATCTACTGGGCTGACATCAAAAGCCAAACCATCAAACGGGTGTTCGTCAACGGCACCCAGCTAGAAACTGTAATTTCTTCAGGTAGGTGCCTTCTAGGCTGACACGTCAACTCAGAGGAAAACGCCAAAGTGAGCTGGAAAATAAAGCTTTTACAGTTAAAGTTACCCAATAAATTCAGTATTTATAATTCATGATGGTATTTGTGGTTCGACTTGCAGCAGCAGTTACCGTACGGGTAACTGCTGCTGCAAGTCGAAGCACATCTAGCAGCTGTTTAGAGCTGCTAGATGTTTACGTTAAGGTCTTCATGGGAATAAATTATTTTTCCCACTCTTCCTTACAGACATAGTGAATTGTCGGAGTCTGGCTTTAGACTGGCTTTCCAGGAACTTATACTGGCTCAGCTCTGAAAATGACGAGTCCCAAATCAATGTGGCTCGCTTTGATGGGTCCCTAAAGACGTCCATCATCCACGGCATTGATAAGCCAAGGTGCCTTGTAGTGCATCCTGCCAAGGGGTAAGTAGATTAGACTAGCCTGTGCATTTCATGAGCGCATAACCTTCAGTATATAGTGTCAGGGAATGTTAAGCTGTGCAAACGGAGGATCAAAGGCTTGAGGAATATTTACTAACAGCTGCAAATGATAACAGATGTTTACAGGAATGTGTAATGAAACTCAACTGAGTTGCTTACCTTCACTTTACACGTCTGCAAACATACAAACATTCATTGATTTTCCTGAAAGCATCATGACTAAAAACACAATACCAGCACTCATCTTGGACTCTTCCCCACAGGAAAATCTACTGGATTGATGGAAACACGGTTAACATGGCCAACATGGATGGAAGCAACAGTAAAGTCCTCCATCAGAACCAGAGGGATCCTGTAGGTCAGTATCAGTCGTGTTCATGTTTCAGACACAGATATGATTTATTAATTTAGTAGTTTGTTTATTTAAGATTCTATACTTATTGTTGATATTTTGACTGATGTTTAGAATTAAATCATTTAGAAAAAAAATGACACGTATTTGTATTTGTTTTTTTGCCACTTCTTGAATATTCACTTTTTTCTCTCCCCCAAACAGGTTCATCTAAGTTATAACTTAGATATGAAGTCATTTTTCACTTAAAATATTGAGTTAATTATCGCCACACTGACCGTTTTTTTTTTCTTTTCAGGTATGTGAATGAGATTTTCAAGGTCGTTTCAGGTTTTAGGATATTTTTTAAATTATGTTTCAATCAGGGCTGCCAACTTTTGAACATTTCAAAGAGTGAGACGGGGTAACGGGGTGGGGAGCGGACAATTCGCCAACCATTTAGAGCGGGGGGTGGGGGTTAATATTGACTTTATTTATTTATTTATTTCTACTCTGTATGGAAAAGGATTAAAGCCACTGACAAGGAAGAAAAGAGAATTCTTACTTTTTTCTCAGAATTCTGACTTTTAACCTCGGAATTCTGACAGGGAATTCTGCGGGAAAAGTCCAAATTCTCTTTCTTTTCTTCTTTTTTTTTCCAGCGGCCCTAATCCTCTTCCTTACCTCTGACTTCACAGAGGGAACTGAACTTTGTTTAGTACAAATTTTCTTTTCGTGAGGAAAATTTGACATCCAACTCCTCTGAACTTCTTCACACCATCTATCTATCTGTCTGTCTGTCTGTCTGTCTGTCTGTCTGTCTGTCTGTCTGTCTGTCTGTCTGTCTGTCTGTCTGTCTGTCTGTCTGTCTGTCTGTCTGTCTGTCTGTCTGTCTGTCTGTCTGTCTGTCTTTCTGTCTGTCTGTCTGTCTGTCTGTCTGTCTGTCTGTCTGTCTGTCTGTCTGTCTGTCTGTCTGTCTGTCTTTCTGTCTGTCTGTCTGTCTGTCTGTCTGTCTGTCTGTCTTTCTGTCTGTCTGTCTGTCTGTCTGTCTGTCTGTCTGTCTGTCTGTCTGTCTGCAGTAAAGAGTTACAGGAACTTTTAATTATAATTAATGTAAATGTTTTAAATTCCATCTAGGGGTGGGCAATATCATGTCATTCATAATATTACCAGTTATTATTTCTTGCCAAGAAAAAAAATCTATCATGTTAAGCTTACTTCACTGATGTAGTTGCATCCACTAAACAGAGGATTGTGTTCATGTGTGTCATCAGCAGGAAGTTATTGAAGTTATCAAAGCAAACATGGCTGGAATCAGTTTTACTGTCATCTGTGTCTCTAAGTGTGTGTGCTGCTGTAATCAGTGGATGTCCCCACCGTGGGACTAACACAATTTACTCTATTTTATTATATTAATTCATATCAGCCAGTAGGGGAAAAAAGGTTTGAGGAATTTTGGCCTTTCCAGGCTTCCGTACCAGTAGTTTTCATATCACAAACAGGAAAACACACTGGTGGAGCGGTGAATTACATTGTTATGAATCCACGTCACAAACTAATGTAGGAGAGGGAACATGTGAGTGAGCCACCACGGTAGGAAGCCCAGCTTGCTGTGAGCGAGAGCAGCGATCTGTGGCTGATGAGTGAAAACAAAAGTAAAACATTCGGGACTGAAGCTCCGTCAACACCGACTTGTAACACGGCTGCATTTCTAAATAAAGCATGTCATTATGGCGGCGCGCGCAGCCGCAGCTCACGGTTCTGGGAGAACCGGGCATGCCCGTTCCATCAACAGCATGGAGCTCATCACTCCATCCATCTCACAACCAGAGCAGAAAAATGCACATCGGCTTGGATTATACAGATGGGATTATGTGTGAAATAACACCAGTTAAATTCTTACTTACGTGTTGTTTGTGTGCATGTTCAGTAGCTAATGCCATCATTAATATCATCTGTTTTTTTCAGAAGCCCTACTCACTGTGCATGATGTGCGTTTGGGGAGCGCAGGCGCTGTTTTAGCGTGAGAGATTGGAGGTGTGGCGTGAGAGCGTGTGAAGAGGGTCATATGTGTGTGTCTCACGCTCAGTGTGTGAGAGTTGGCAACACAGGTTTCAATAATGATACATGTTTTAGGAAGAGGATATTAACACAAGCATAGCATTTTACAGAGACCTTAGTCCTAGTCCGCATTTATTTGAGGTCATGCAGATGAAAAGATAAAAATAAAATAATAGTAATGGAAGTAAACATGTTTTAAAGGTGTGGAACACTGAAAAACCCTTTTAAAAATCGTATTTCTGTCACTGAGTTTTTCATGCAGGCTGAACTTGAAAACAGTCATCTACACCTATCTCCTGCATTATTTCTGATAGAAAACAGATTGTGAAACTCTAGGATATGAAAAGCCTGACAGATCGTCACTCTGTCACTTAACATTCATGGACTCGCCCATCTTGACTCATAAAGGGGAATGCTGTTGTCGGTTTAGGAAAAAGAAGAGAACGTCTCGGCTAGTAGAAGCTAACCATTAGCATTAGCAACTCCTCCAGGCTTGTGTTACTTGTGGAAATAAAACATCAACGTTACAAGTCAGTGGTAGAGTCGCTTTGCTGCTAGCCAATCTGTGGCGAGATGTCCGAATATCAGGAAGTACAGGTGCTGGCCAGTAAATTAGAATATCATCAAAAGGTTGAAAATATTTCAGTAATTCCATTCAAAACGTGAAACTTGTACATTATATTCATGCAATGCACACAGACCAATGTATTTCCGATGTTTATTACGTTTAATTTTGATATTTATAGGTGACAACCAATGAAAACATCAAATCTGGTATCTCAGAAAATTAGAATATTCTAAAGGCCAATGAAAAAATGTTTGTTTCTCTAATGTTGGCCAACTGAAAAGAATGAACATGAAAAGAATGTGCATGTATAGCACTCAATACTTAGTCGGGGCTCCTTTTGCCTCAATAACTGCAGTAATGCGGCGTGGCATGGACTCGATCAGTCTGTGGCACTGCTCAGGTGTTATGAGAGCCCAGGTTGCTCTGATAGTCGTCTTCAGCTCCTCTGCATTGTTGGGTCTAGCGTATTGCATCCTCCGCTTCACAATACCCCATAGATTTTCTATGGGGTTAAGGTCAGGCGAGTTTGCTGGCCAATCAAGGACAGGGATACCATGGTCCTTGAACCAGGTGCTGGTGGTTTTGGCACTGTGTGCAGGTGCCAAGTCCTGTTGAAAGGTGAAGTCTGCATCCCCATAAAGTTGGTCAGCAGCAGGAAGCATGAAGTGCTCTAAAACTTCCTGGTAGACGGCTGCATTGACCCTGGACCTCAGGAAACAGAGTGGGCCAACACCGGCAGATGACATGGCACCCCACACCATCACTGACGGTGGAAACTTTACACTGGACCTCATGCAACGTGGATTCTGTGCTTCTCCGCTCTTCCTCCAGACTCTGGGTCCTTGATTTCCAAAGGAAATGCAGAACTTGCTTTCATCAGAAAACATAACTTTGGACCACTCAGCATCAGTCCAGTCCTTTTTGTCCTTGGCCCAGGCGAGACGCTTCTTGCGCTGTTTCTTGTTCAAGAGTGGCTTGACACACGGAATGCGACACCTGAATCCCATGTCTTTCATGAGTCTCCTCGTGGTGGTTCTTGAAGCGCTGACTCCAGCTGCAGTCCACTCTTTGTGGATCTCCCCCACATTTTTGAATGGGTTTGTCGTCACAATTCTCTGCAGGGTGCGGTTATCCCTAGAGCTTGTACACTTTTTTCTACCACATTTTTTCCGTCCCTTCGCCTGTCTGTTAATGTGCTTGGACACAGAGCTCTGCGAACAGCCAGCTTCTTTAGCAATCACCTTTTGTGTCTTGCCCTCCTTGTGCAAGGTGTCAATGATTGTCTTTTGGACAGCTGTTAAGTCAGAAGTCTTCCCCATGATTGTGGTGCCTTCTAAACAAGACTGAGGGACCTTTTAAAGGCCTTTGCAGGTGTTTTGAGTAAATCAGCTGATTAGAGTGGCAGCAGTTGTCTTCTATATTCAGCCTTTTCAGAATATTCTAATTTTTTGAGATACCAAATTCTGAGTTTTCATTAGTTGTCACTTATGAATATCAAATTTAAATGTAATGAACATTGGAAATACATTGGTCTGTGTGCATTGCATGAATATAATGTACAAGTTTCACGTTTTGAATGGAATTACTGAAATATTTTCAACCTTTTGATGATATTCTAATTTACTGGCCAGCACCTGTAATACTCCACAACCTGCAGTCTGAAGCTCAGCTGTGATGTGGCTCGCTTCTAGTTCCTGGAAATGTCGCAAATACGTCTTTCTCCCCAGAGTACATGGTATTCATTCCTACTAGAGACCACTGCAAATGTATTGATAAAATACATGTCCCACACCTTTAACCAAAATCTTAAGACTTTAGTGTAGTCAGTCTAGATTTCATAAAACCATCTGCCTCTATGTAAAGATGACAATAAACTGTAGATTATATTAGAAATACGTGTAAATAAAAACCTAGCAAATACTGATTAGTTCTACATTTTTGATAAATCAATCAATCACAATTTATTTATAAAGCACTTTTCAAGCAAAGCGCTACTCAAAGTGCTTTACAAAATGACCCCAAATTCCCATAACAGTTTAAAAACATTAATAGACAAGCACACACACACACACACACACACACACACACACACACACACACACACACACACACACACATCAGTAAAAATTTATATTCGGCTGAGTCCAGATGAGCCAAGTAAGGTAAGGCAAAGAAACGCCATCAGAGGAGCCGTCTGCCCCGGCAGCATCAGGTCTTCTGCACTAAGTCAGGGCGCTCAGAGGAGGGGGAGCATAGACCCCCACCTCCACTTAAACACTACCTATAGAGCGCCCAGGAAGCAACAGTCGGCCACAGCCCCCAGGGCAGAGGGCCTCTACGTAGCAAACACTGGATTAGAATGAGTAAAAATATAAAAGAGCTAATATTAATGACCAAAGTAAGAACATACTTGATCTGTCAAATCAAGTTTAGAGAGCTTCTAATCATTATCGAAGACAACACATTACTCTCCAAACGGACATTTCATTGTAAACACTTTAGTTTTCTGATCATATTAATAATAATAATAATAATAATAATAATGCATTGAACTTATATAGCGCTTTTCTAGACACCCAAAGACGCTTTCACACACTCTCACATTCACACACTGCTAGTGATGGTAAGCTACTTGTAGCCACAGCCGCCCTGGGGCGGTCTGACAGAGGCGAGGCTGCCATTTGGCGCTGCCGGCCCCTCTGACCACCACTAACACAGGCAAGTTGGGTGGTGTCTTGCCCAAGGACACAACAGCAGGATACCCCTGGTGGGAGCTGGACTCGAACCCATGACCCTCCGATCATGAGGCAACCCGCTCTACCACCTGAGTTACTGCTGCCCCTATATGCATCTATATTTATATCTTTATTGTAAGTTTGAACCCGTTTCCATGAAGAAGTCTGTCACAACTGCAGCTTAATCCCCCCCCAAAAAAAACTAACAAACAATCAGCAGTTCTTTATTTGTCCTAGTTGTTGTTACACACAGCTCAAGGTCAAACTTCCCATTTGTCACACAGAGGAGCTTTGTCTCTGGCGCAATTCTTCATTCTCCCAAGCCTGTCAGCAGCAGGGAGCTCTGTATTTCACTAGTTTCATTTATGATTATGGACTAGACCTGGGGACAAGAGCAAATTAATGATGCATTGTGACTGAATCTGCCAGACATAAATCCAACACATGGTGGGAGACAGTGAGATGTCCAGAGGTACACAATAGGAATTGCTTTCAGCTCCAAACATTAGCAGGGATGTTCTCTGAGAAAAATCCATCAGCCTTCCAGGAAAGGGATTGTTCATTCTTCATGCTAGCTGGAGTTCATTTGAAGTCATCCCCCACAAAGATGAGCGAGACGGCACACAAACATTGTTATAAGCTCTCATAACCAAGTTCATGAATGGTGCAGCTAAAGCAGTCACAGTAAACTCGTTTTCTGCACGTGCTCGCTCAGTGCGTGATAACAAGTCTGTTATGTGAGTTCAATTTTCATGCCGGTTTAATGATCGCAAGCATGTTGTGAGGTAAATTTAACTTCCTAAACATCTTCCTGTGACTTGATGCCATTGATCTTGAAAAGCCACGTCGAACGCAGGTCCCAGCAAATATTGGCATGGCGAGTGCAAACCTGCTGTGCTCTTGTCACTCCTCTTCTTCCCAGGTCTCACAATAGACTACGGTGCCAACAAGCTCTACTGGATAAGCTCAGCCAACAGCACAATCAACAGGTGCAATCTGGACGGCGGTGGGCTGGAAGTGCTGGAAACTCTCAAGAGCGAGCTAGCCAGAGGCACAGCTCTGGCCGTGATGGGTGAGTGGAGCTCCCATATCAGATTTCCACTGGGGATTATTCAGACGCTATGAACAGATTAAATGTTTAACCAGTTAAGTGGCTGGAGTAGTTATTTATGCTGTCCTAGCAACAGTTGCGCCTCGCTTTGAGTGAATCCGCTGGAGCATTAGATAATTAAAAAACACCACACCGCAATGATGGATGATTGATTTTCTCACTCCGTTCATAATGAAACGGGTGGAGGGTGTTAATTACATGTTGATTCTTGGTACCAGAGCTGAATCCAATGTGTCACACCATTCATCAACTCATGGGTGGATTAGAAACGTCTAACTCCATTCCTGTTGGAATAAATAGGATCGCTTCCACTGTTGCTGTTTTCCTCTTTTTTATCTGCTACATGTTTACTCATCATGTCATGGTTATATAAACATGATTATTTATTTCTAGTGTTGTAATCCAAATTTTAATGTTCTTTTGTCTCATCTTGGTATCAGGGCATCTTTACTGGGTCTTGGGATTGGTCTGGCTTTTTACAAGACCAGTCGAGACTATTGGTGATGGACCTTTGTCCATGTCTCACTGGTGAGAGAACAACAACTTAAAATCATTGGTATTGTAACAATTTACCCAGCTGCCATAGGCGCCGACATACAGTGGGCGGATACACTGCAGCGCCACACTGACACCCCCCCCCCCCCCCCCATTAAATCTTAGCTTTCATGGAAAAGAAACTGTACTTTTGAGGTCTTCAGCAACAAGCCCTTTATGGGTTTACTGGTAGGGCTTTAGGTATGTTTGTTACCACATGATGTTCAGGCTTTGTGTGACATAACTTTTATGTCACACATGTGTCTCCGGTGTCAAGAATGTTAACAGAAAATGAAACGAGAGAGAGAGAGAGAGAGAGAGAGAGAGAGAGAGAGAGAGAGAGAGAGAGAATCTCTTGGTCTCCAGTATTATGATTTTGACTACAACGCTATTAATTATTTTTTCTGTCTTTCCAATTGATTAATCGAACCCAATTATTGTGCAAAAAGAAAGCTGGGATGCTTACAATTGGCTTTTTACCAGTACACCACAAATATTATAAGACTCTTAAGTTATGATACCGTTTTAAACAGATACCAATATATGCTGTGGCCCCCCACATAACAAAAGAAAAACTAAAATATTTGAGGTTACTAACATCGCATTTCTCTTATCAAGCTTAAATTTGAAACAGTTTCTGTGCAAAATGGCATCTACTTCAATTTAAGTTGGTAACAGAAAAAGTACCATATTTATTTTGTCTCCAACAGAAGCTGAATCTCATTCTCCCTAAGCGTGATGCTAAGATGTGTTCTTTAGTAATGTGTTTTTTCTCTTTGTGTACGTATAACGCAGCTATGGTAATGAAACTAGATAAGAAAAGCAAGCCTTGGGTGAAGATGTTTGCTTTTGTTTAAGTCATTTGTCAGTACACAGGGCAAAGGCACAGGGCATTTACATTCAGCCCAGCATTAACTGACACTGCCCATCAGCAATATAAACATGGCACTGGGGTGGGCGTGCAGCTTTTTGCTGAGTTCGCATGACCGCCAAGGCGGCCTGAGTAAATGCTGCGCTAAAAAAAGTTTTCAAAATGCCGAGGTCTGAAACTGACAGGAACACCGACGCAGAGATGAAAAGAAATACAACACATCCTTTTTATCCATCTGCCCGATGGCTGACAGCTCACGCTCTCTCGGTCCTGCTGGGTATGGCTGACTCCTGCTGACCGGTCAAAAACAATAAACAACTTTTTCCTCCTGAAACTTCCCTGGAAATCCCGGTCCTCCACAGTGTACAGAACACTCCCATTTTCTGTCCTTTGGTGTTGAAATAGTGCAGGATGTCCAACAGGGAATCTTATTTTAAGACACGGGAATTTAATCATCTCGCTTGTGCACAGAGGTGAGTTCCTGTGTGCAAAGACCTGAAACATAAAGGTTTATTGAAATAAATGTAACATCTCTGCGGTAACGCCGCCACATGCACTTACATGCATCTACTGAGTGTAATTTTCACTGTGGTCACTGCTTCTTTGGATGCTCTCCATGTATGGAGACTTATGACCTCCTCAGCATGTCAGACAGCATGTCTTGGCAAGCCAAAGGCAATCTCATCTCAGCGGGTGACCTCCTAATTCACAAGAAGGAAACCATATGGAAGTAAGAGGATTTAAAATAATTCACCTCTATCTGTAGAGCTGTTAGCACTAAAATGAACATGCTTCCTAATAATCATGATGGGACTTTGCTTCCTGTGTAGTGGCCATGTGTCAGTATAATTATAGCATCACTGAATGGTATAAGTGGCTAAACTTACATTTTTTAATCGATGGCAGCATTAATCTGTACACTCCCTCTTATTTGTTCATTTCTGTAAGCATTTCTTACAGTTTTAGGTGCTTAAAGGGATGGATCTTTGAGACTTCATTATTGCGTTTCACAAATCGGAGCTAGGATGTGAGGTGACATAGACTAATGACGTGGTTCCTGCATAGAAGCAGGTACAGCAAAACAGTGAATGGTGTCCGCGGGTCTCCATCAGTCACAATTAATGATGAATTTTATCCAGGGTGATGGTACTAAACGGTAGAATGAAAAGCACTTTGTTGTTTTCTAAGGTTTTCTATTACAGCTGAATGGTTTTTGACTTGTTTAATGTTAAATGCACATTTTATTATGATTATCATATCAATTAACAGTTATGTGTGATGGCACAATTTCTTTTATCAAACATTTTAGTGCGTTTGAGTATTTATAGCAAACACTTTATGGGCCAGTATGTAATACTTTTAGTTGTTTACTATCAAAAATGAGTGTGTCCTGTTGACAAACATGTTCTTTTTCATTATGTTACGCCCCCTCTCTGCAGGCCTAGGATGATGAGGGGACTAACACAAGAAAATAGGTGTAGGTGTGTAGGAGTGGATAAATGATGAGGAGGTTTGAGTAAAAAACAAAAGGATTTATTAACAGAAGGTGTCCGTGGGTAAACGGCATAAATCAGGCTTACTATTAATAATCATAATTAGGGAAACTAAAAACATAAGCAGTCTAACTGCTTATGAAAATGCTTTCTGCCAAACTTAAATGATAACCACCTAAACGAAAAATATCCCCGGTTCAAAAGTCCTATGGGGATAAAAAGAAAACCACCACTATCAGAAAACTGACGTTCAGACAGCTCAATCCTTCTAAAGAGGATAATTAAGTCAAACTCATCTAGCAAACACCCCAAAATGGCTTTACCATTAGCAAGGCGTGTGAAAACACGCTCAGAAGGAACCCAGGCTAATCCTGGATCCTTTCTAGAACACCATAAACAAATAATGAGCGAGGGAGAATCTCAGGCTACTCCTGGATCTCTAGCAACAAACCTTGAACCCAAACGGTAACGGTGTAAACCTTAAACCCGATTGGTAACGGTAGCAAAAGTGTCTGTGAGCTAAGGAGAATCTCCGGCTAATCCAGGATCTCCTCGACGTCTGCTGCGTTCCTCCTTTTAAGCCCGTTGGCCGCTTGATAGCTGATGGAGATCAGCTGCTGTCTCTGGTGCTGGATCTCTTGCGGCGGGGACAAAAGGCTCAGGTTGGGATGAAAGGACGGACCGAGGGGACGAGGGTCGTCACACATTAATATTTCTCACTGCCTATTCAAAATATTACTTTGGGCTTGAAATTTGACATTTTATACAAAAACGGTGGCTGACCCTCCATAGGTGTTTAAGGACATACAAGATATTATTCTCCACGTTTCGAGTTTGCACTTTGACATTATGTTACCTCAATGAAACAGCAGAGGGCAGCAGTACATCCACGAAGCATGCAATCTGCCAAGCCAGTTGAGTAGAAGAAAATAGAAACACTGTTGCTGTCATAGACATAAATACAAAGATGTCTCACTGGGTGCTGGAGAGCCTAACGCCGGGGACACACCGGCCGCCGAAGCGCCGGGAGGCGAAGCGCTCACGAAATTCGGCCGCTGCTCGCTGCTCCTCAGTTCAGACCAGACGCTTGTTTCTCCGCTCCGGTCGAGGCGCGCCTCGTAGTTTTTCTTTTAACCACTTGGTGTCCTCCATTTCCTCTCTGCCTTTACTCTGCTCTTTTCCTCGACACCCCCTCCCCCTTGCTGTTTGTGTGTGTTTGTGCGTGTGTGTGTGTGTGAACCTGTGGTGTAAACCAGTTGTTAATAGCTGGCCTACGACTTTCTGCCTCTCTGTCCTGTTTGCTCCGGTTGAAAGACACCCAAAAACACACCCCTTCACGTGGTCACACACACACAAGTTCACTGTGTGTGTGTGTGTGTGTGTGTGTGTGTGTATGTTCGTGTGGTTTTTATGCAGTGTCTGTTTACGAACACATTGGACTATCGTGGAGTTGTATTTTGAAATGTTTTATTTTGTTAAATTTACCGGCCTGCCTCTTATGTCTAGGTTTGACTTCCTGCCAGAATTGCCTCTGCCGCGGCTCGCGAAACAAATAGAGCAGACGCCGAAACGATCGCTGCACGGCGCGGTCTGGAGTGCGGGCGCCTCGGCGGCCCATGTGGTCTGTAGAATAGAATAACAAGGGCGCCGAATGAAGTCGGTCCCCGTTTTTCGGCGCTTCGGCAGCCGGTGTGTCCCCAGCGTAACAGTGTCTCCATCTTATTGAGGTTGTTCCTCACCCTCCAAACCCAACTGGAGTCAACGCAGAGTGACCCGCACTGTTGATAAAAGATCACGGGGATTACTATCGACTTTTCTAGCCTACCTGTTGGGTTTTATGTTTTTATTTACTTTTATTTAATTATATTCATATTTTAACTGTCATGCCATACTCTGTGTCTGATTTTGTGCAAAAAATGTTATTATAATTTTTTTTTTGTTGTTGTTGGGTAACACCTCCCTCAATAGAAATAAATGCACTAGGGCTTATGCCAACCCATGCAAGAGAGCGGCCCGCTGCTCCTCCAATAGGCAGTGCCAGTCCATGGGGTGTCTATGTTTAA